TCCGTGGGGCGTAACGATGGCCCTGAGTGCGTAATGCAGTATTGATTGTACGGGGGGGGGGCGGGGGGGGGGACTTTTACGGAAAGGTCCAAGGCTCCTCGGCCGCCTTTGGGAATTTGTTACAGGATGAGGCGTGAAGATCTGGGTCTGTGAGTGGTGGTGATGGATGTGGAGGAGTTCCCAACAAGCCCCCTCTCTTAGTCATCAGCCATGATCTATGTGCTGCTGGATAATGAAGGCCTCCTCCCCCAGCCATTGGCATCTATCGCGGGCGCGTGACGGCAACGATCGTTCTCGCTCCGGCGCACGGGGCCGATTTCGTCGCTCCATCTCTGCGCTGAACGTCCTTTCGGGCGCCTCCACCCCCCCCACCCTATGGCGCTCCCCATTGGCTGCCATTCCGCTGTTACTCTCGACCACCGGGCCATCCTCCCTTCCTGGCAGCGTGTCCTGCTTAAGGCCCGCTCGCATTTGTTCAGAGTCGAAGGTCTCTAATTTGCGTTTCTTCTCCGATCCGTACATTCGAATGAAGGTATTCTCGTCCGCGATTGGCGCGGATCGATAACGGTGATGATGCAGTAGTCTGAATGCCTGAGGCGTTCTGAATGGCACGGACACTTCAAGCGTCACCATGTTCACGGACACACACAAAAACAATGTTTTTGTTTACAATACGAACGGCCTGGGTAGATTTGAGGGAGCTGTGCAAACATATTTAGATACCAGCTATGGGAACGAGTCGCTGTGTATCTGTGTTTACTAATTCATTTCCATGTTTTTTTAAACTTACCCTGAATACATGGAAAGATGCTGCTGTGTTTGCAATTCTCTCCCCTTCACATGTACTGTATGCAATGTTACCGCTCATCATCATAATCATCATCATCATAATAAGTAGCAGTAGCCATGATCTACTGCTGCATTAAGGCCTCAACCCCAAGCCAGCACCATCTCTCAAAGTCTCGCTAAGCAAACCGTACCTATCTCTTGCAAACGAGCACGATTCGACTGGACTGTCTCGCGAAAGAGAGCTTCACAGCTGGTCAGATTCTTCCAGGATCAATAACGATCATGATTCGGAACGTCCCTCTGTGGCAACGTTCCCCTCCTTTAGCTGCCACTCCATCATCAGTCTCTGAAACTAATTTTTTTTTATATCCCAGGTAAGGCCTACTGAGCCGTGTAGTTTCTTTTTCAGAAGCGAACTGGCTATCACAAACGAATGATAGCCCAACGAAGTGGCTTATCACGTGGAAATTTATAGCAGCCAAACACGCTAAAACGCACGTTTATTAAATGTTGAAGGGGAGAACATGCAAACTCCGAATATACAGGATCATATATATCAGGATCGGGATCGAACCCACGACCTACTTGCATGCCAGTGACACCTCCTGCCCCCAAGCCCACTTTTCTCAACCGTCAATACGACGTCTCGAGCTTGATTACGTCCTCCGATCAAACGTGTGCCCTCTTTCTGTCTCTCAGCGTAGAATTCTAAGCGTGCGCCGTGATGTCCACGCTCCTTTGAGCACTTGTCCGGCTACGATTGAATTTTGCCTGGTCGGCGCCTGTGTACGATTTGCGGCCGCGTTCGGCCCCCCAATCTCGACGCTCGTCCTGCACCCTCCCCGCCCTCGCCTGTTCTCACTCGCGAACCGCCCTGTCAGCGGCGCTAATTTTGGATCTTCGTCGCAGATCCCTTGTCATGGCGCATGCAGACGAGGATTCATCTCCAGATAAGGGCCCTTGCAGGCCTGGCGTCTCATTTTCAATGGGGACCTGGGGTTGATTGAGGACAGAAAAACGGCAAACTAAACGCCGGCTTAACAAACCACAAACAAGTACGATTTGAAATCGCCGAAACTCACTGCGGTTGGCGTGAAAAGCAAAAATGTGAAGCTAACACAAAAATTCCCCCCACAAATACTACGTTATTATTTATTTCATGAAAAAAAAGTGCACGCCCACTTGCCAATTGGGCAGGATTACCAAGTCCACCGCAGTCGGTTGTGTGTGGTGGGGTATAGTGTGGATACTGCCACCTCTTCCGCGACGCACCTCCGATTAGCACGGTTGGCTGCGTACGGTGCGAAAGAAGTTCAACGCGTACAAAGACGACTGGCAGGCGTGGTTGAGTTGCGGGAAGCGGCACGATTCTGGCAATTGCAGGGCTGCACCTTTCTACTTGCTGACTAATAACTAACGGCATGCCATGCTTGCTAGATAATGCAATGTCTTTCCACACGTGGAAGGGGGGGGGATCGTTACAGGAAAAGGAAACTTTTTTTTAGTGAATATCAAACATTCTTGTAATACACAGAATGATAGGTCAGTGGTTCTTAATCTCGGGGTGCACGCTGCACCCGCTGGGGGTGCGAGATGCCCTTTCTGGGGTTGCGAGACATGGCCAGGTTTTTTTTTAGAAGGTAAATCATCGAAAACACAAATTAAGCATGGGCTACTTTGTTTCATGAAACCTACAGTGAGGGAAAAAAGTATTTGATCCCCTGCTGATTTTGTACGTTTGCCCACTGACAAAGAAATGAGCAGTCTATAATTTTAATGGTAGGTTTATTTGAACAGTGAGAGACAGAATAACAACAAAAACTCCAGAAGAACGCATATCAAAAATGTTGTAAATTGATTTGCATTTGAATGAGGGAAGTAAGTATTTGACCCCCTCTCAATCAGAAGATTTGTGGCTCCCAGGTGTCTTTTATACAGGTAACGAGCTGAGATTAGGAGCACACTCTTAAGGGAGTGCTCCTAATCTCAGCTTGTTATCTCTAAAATAGACACCTGTCCCACAGAAGAAATCAATCAGATTCCAAACTCTCCACCATGGCCAAGACTAAAGAGCTCTCCAAGGATGTCAGGGACAAGATTGTAGACCTACACAAGGCTGGAATGGGCTACAAGACCATTGCCAAGCATCTTGGTGAGAAGGTGACAACAGTTGGTGCGATTATTCGCAAATGGAAGAAACACAAAAGAACTGTCAAACTCCCTCGGCCTGGGGCTCCATGCAAGATCTCACCTCGTGGAGTTGCAATGATCATGAGAACCGTGAGGAACCAGCCCAGAACTACACGGGAGGATCTTGTCAATGATCTCAAGGCAGCTGGGACAAAAGTCACCAAGAAAACAATTGGTAACACACTACACCGTGAAGGACTGAAATCCTGCAGCGCCCGCAAGGTCCCCCCCCTGCTCAAGAAAGCACATATACATGCCCGTCTGAAGTTTGCCAATTAATATCTGAATTATTTAGAGGACAACTGGGTGAAAGTGTTGTGGTCAGATGAGGCCAAAATGGAGCTCTTTGGCATCAACTCAACTCGCCGTGTTTGGAGGAGGAGGAATGCTGCCTATGACCCAAGAACACCATCCCACCGTCAAACATGGAGGTGGAAACATTATGCTTTGGGGGTGGTTTTCTGCTAAGGGGACAGGACAACTTCACCACATCAAAGGGACGATGGACGGGGCCATGTACCGTAAAATCTTGGGTGAGAACCTCCTTCCCTCAGCCAGGGCATTGAAAATGGGTCATCGATGGGTATTCCAGCATGACAATGACCCAAAACACATGGCCAAGGCAATAAAGAACTGGCTCAAGAAGAAGCACATTAAGGTCCTGGAGTGGCCTAGCCAGTCTCCAGACCTTAATCCCATAGAAAATCTGTGGAGGGAGCTGAAGGTTCGAGTTGCCAAACGTCAGCCTCGAAACCTTAATGATTTGGAGAAGATCTGCAAAGAGGAGTGGGACAAAATCCCTCCTGAGATGTGTGCAAACCTGGTGGCCAACTACAAGAAACATCTGACCTCTGTGATTGCCAACAAGGGTTTTGCCACCAAGTACCAAGTCATGTTTTGCAGAGGGGTCATGTACTTATTTCCCTCATTAAAATGCAAATCAATTTATAACATTTCTGACATGCGTTTTTCTGGATTTTTTTGTTGCTATTCTGTCTCTCACTGTTCAAATAAACCTACCATTAAAATTACAGACTGATCATTTCTTTGTCAGTGGGCAACGTACAAAATCAGCAGGGGATCAAATGCTTTTTTTCCCTCACTGTATGTATTTATTAACATTGTACATTTTTTACGATTGAGAACCAAAGGGGTGCAGGCTGCATGAAAGGTTATAGAAACACTGGATTTAAAGAGATGGGCCAGGGTGTCTCTGGGGATGGGCCAACGGAACTGGTTCTACTGGGTTCTTGCCACTCGCCGATAGTTTTGAATGGTCACTTTGCCCCCCCCCCCCCTCATCACATGATACCGGAGAGCATGGCTGTAATAATGCCATCGCTTGTGGCAATTCGCATGCTGGCCAGAGTACCACGTGCTGTATCTATCCGTTCCAAACATTTAAATAGATTGCGGTCAGTGGTTCACTCTGTGGGGAAGTCAACAGTAGTTGTCCTCTGGATAGACTTACCCTCGCCATAGGAATGTGCCATTTATACCACCTAGCTGTCGGCTCTAAACAGGAGATGCTCATTTGTGCAGGAATCCGCTTGACTTTTTTGTATTTACATGGGTCATGTACATGTGCAGCCCTTTGTCAATCCATTCCTGGATGAAGGCATCCACCACCCTGTGTGGCTCATGGTGGATACTTTGACCATACTTCACCACGCTGGTCGGTGCAGGATGGAAAAGATTGGCGTGTGACGTCTGTCAGTACACTGTGAGGACACAACGTCGCTGCATAAACTATACGCGTATCTACTCATGCAGCAGCGCACTGACGTCACAGCTCGGGTTGTCTTGTGGAAAGACCACCCGGCACCTCCTGAGCCGCACCATGCTGGCTCGGCACGGCTCGGTTGTGCAGTGGAAAAAACCACCGCGCACCTCCTGAGCCTTGCCACGCTGGCTTGTTGTGGCCCCGGCGCAGATCGGATGTGCAGTGGAAAAAAATAAGCATCTGTCTGTCTCACTCCCTCGTCTCACTTTCCCCTTCTCACTGTCTCCATTGTGCTCAGTGCCTGAAGCCGTGACGGGCATGCTGGGGCCCCCCGTGGCTCAGCCGCCCTCCCCCGAGGACCTCTCTGGGGGGGGCGCTGGCGTCCCACGGCGGCGGCGACTGCGGCACCCCCAAGCAGTCGCTGACACGCCGCCTCCTCCGCTCCATCAAGGGCCGCGGCCGCCAGGCGGCGCAGCACTTCAGCTCGCAGCGGCAGCCCGTGGCCCGCACTCTGCGCCCAGCTGGAGATGGAGGCCGCCGTCGCCCAGCGTCTGTCGTCGTCCCAGCCGGACGTCCGTTTCGGAGCGGGCTACCAGTCCGGCTCGTCCTCTTCGGCGTCGTCCGAGAGCGGCGGCTCGCCGTCCAGCCCGCGGCGGGGGCCGCCGTTTGCGGCAACGACGGCCGACGCCGCCGGAGGTCCCTCGCCGGCGCCGCCGGCGCCGCCGCTGCCGAAGACGTGGGATGAGTGCGTGGGGTTCGCCCTGCCGGTGCCGGCCATGCTGCCTGCTGACGGGAGGAGGTCGCTGCCGGCCACGCCGGCGCTACGACGCCCTCCCTGCCAAAAGACGTCGTTCTCCACGTCCGCGTCGCCCAAGCACCTGGCGGTGAGCAGCGGGTAGCGTCCGCGCGGGCCACCTTTAGGGTCGCTACCTGTCCCGGCTTTCCCAGGAATCGTCCTCTCCATTGAGCAGAGCCGTCCTGGGAAATCTGCGACTCTTCCCGGGACGTTGAAAGTCCGCTCGCGTTTTTCGTCCATTGTGTAATAATAACAATCATGATAATTCCACACCACTCAAGACAATGCGTTTAGCACATCGTCCTCCCCTCTTCTGGCATCTTCCCATGATATCTCCCGGTGTCTTTACATCAGAGGGGTTGGCGATCCTAAACCCGGCGCAGCGCCCGTCGTGCAGTCTTGTCGCCGCTTGGCCAGAGTCGCGGTGCCGCTGGTGCCGTTTATTGTTTGAGGCTCGGCCTCCAGGACGCAGTGCCGTGAGCAGGTTTCGCTTCTACGAATATCACGATTTTGTTCCCCTGTTTAAAACGCTCCTGGCACTCGTGCTTGACTCACGAACCCGGGCAAAGGGCAGGGTTACCCGAGCAGTGGGCGTGGCCTCCAAACAGTGGGTGTGGTCTCTGAGCAGCGGGCGTGCCCTGTAATCAATAGGCATGGTCACTTATTGTGTGCGAGTGGCTACGTGAAAGTGGGAGGGGCTGGCAACTCACCGTGCGTGTGCTGGTTGGAATTCCTTTCCAGCTCAGACCCCGCCTGCTTGCCCATCGCCACATATATAACCTCCTTGTTGTAACTGCTCTCTCGCTGGTTCAGCAGTTCCACTGCTGGATTATATTTTTTTCCCGCCTGAAGACGACTGCTATTGTGTTGCGATCGAAACGTCGTGATTTATTTTATTTTATACCTACGTGACTTTACCGAAAGAACCAAAGAGTATGGTTGAGCCTCCCGGATATTCGGAAGACCGATACAATCGAGCAGAATGCCGCTTCGCCGACTCAAAGAAGATCTTTTGGAGGGCTCTGGGAGTTGCTCCATCTGCTAATGTAATCAACTGTGTGTGCGTGGTGTCCCGCTCACAGGTTTTATACGTCTGTGCCCACAGGTCTGTCTGTGCTGACGGTCCTTAACGTATCGGCGTGAGTGTTTCAAAAGGAAAAACCGTAGTTTTGTCTATTTACATTGGTTTATTGACAAAACATTTGTGCTACTTATTACACTCATGGCTTGGCTGTTCACATGGATGGTAATGCACCCGGGTGCAGTTTTTGGTGCATTTTACGACTTGGTTATACGACAAAGCCAGGCACGAAGGTCGTATGGCCGACCAGTGCGCTTCAATCCGTCAGTCCGCATCCGTACAGGAGCGATGCTTACTTGGCGACATGCTCGCGCTTGCAGGCAATGCATTATGGGCGCAGGTCATGCGTGAGATGCTCTGCAAATGCGGTAACATTTGCCGGAAGGCCCTGGTCACCTCCCCCCACGTCCCCCCCCCCCCCCCCCCACCCTCGTGACCCCTTCCCCCACGCAAACAACTGTTAGGTAGCCGTGCCGTCCAGGGGGTCGGTCCTCTTGTTAGGGTTGAGACATCGATAATCGAGTCGGCTCACGTTGCCCAAGAGCAATTGTTAGTTGGTAGTGTCGTGAAGGGGGTTGGAGGTGGGTTAAGGTGGGACGTGGGCGCGATAGGTTTTATCCCGTGGTTGTCATACCAGAAAATGCACGCACAAAGACATGGATTCCCCGTGTAGCTTTTAACAGACTGCTGGGGACAAGTGCTGTTTGAGAGTAGCACCTCTATGAAGGCCGGCACGGCACGAGAAAGGGTGGGTGGCCGGCACCGCGCCCGATCGCCTTTGTCTCCCTAGTGGCGATGTTTAGACATTGCCCCCAGGTACTCATTTGACGCTGAGTCGACCTAGGGAAGGCTCAGTCCAGATATCCTTTACCGGGAATCGAATTCGGGTCGCACACACGCACGAGCAGGGGCTGGGCAATTGTACCTGGAAGGAACAATCGAAGAGGTGTGGTTGCGAGCGTGCGTAGATGCTCGCGAGTGTGCGATGTGCGTGTTACAATCATGGCACGGCACTTGCTGTGCGCACAGAGACGTAGCCCACGTGCCAGAGGAGACATCGGCACCGCCTAAGCTAGCTATGCTAGTGATGGCGCTGCGGTGGCTAGGAGATGTTAACTACCTCGCCTGGTATGCAGGAGGTCGTGGGTTTGATCTCGACCCTGACGCCTGCTGTTGTATATTTGGAGTTTGCGTGTCTCTTTCAGCATCATCACGGTGGCTAGGAGATGTTAACTACCTCGCCTGGTATGTAGGTGGTTATGGGTTTTATCTCGACCCTGACGCCTGCTGTATATTTGGAGTTTGCGTGTCTCTCTCAGCATCATCACAGTGGCTAGGAGATGTTAACTACTTTGCCTGGTATACAGGAGGTCGTGGGTTTGATCCCGAACCTGATGCCTGTTGTATATTTGGAGTTTGCGTGTCTCTCTCATCATCATCACGGTGGCTAGAAGATGTTAACTACCTCGCCTGGTATGTAGGTGGTTATGGGTTTTATCTCGACCCTGACGCCTGCTGTATATTTGGAGTTTGCGTGTCTCTCTCAGCATCATCACGGTGGCTAGGAGATGTTAACTACCTCGCCTGGTATGTAGGTGGTTATGGGTTTTATCTTGACCCTGACGCCTGCTGTATAATTGGAGTTTGCGTGTCTCTCTCAGCATCATCACGGTGGCTAGGAGATGTTAACTACCTCGCCTGGTATGTAGGTGGTTATGGGTTTTATCTCGACCCTGACGCCTGCTGTATATTTGGAGTTTGCGTATCTCTCTCAGCATCATCACGGTGGCTAGGAGATGTTAACTACCTCACCTGGTATGTAGGAGGTCGTGGGTTCGATCCCGAACTCGAGTTTACATGCTCGGTGATGGCTGTTGACCTTTTCATTGAGATGTGATTTAATAATAATAATAATTAACAATAGGAATATTAATTTGCCCGGGCATCTCAGAGCTCTGTATACACGATAAAAGAAATGTAACTATGAGTCCAATTTATCGTGTGCAAATAATTAGTGAGGCGAGTCGCGAACGCGCGGTTGGGGTTAAGGAGCCGACAAGTAATTTGGTTTTGAACAAAACGAAACCCAACGCCATCCTTGGCCAAGGTTCCTGGAACAGTGTGCTTCTGAAAAAAAAAATATATGGTGGTGAGATGTTAACTACCTCGCCTGGTATACAATAGGTCGTGGGTTCAATGCCAACCCTGACACCTGCTGTATATTTGCAGTTTGCATGTTCTCCATGTTCTCCCTGTGGTCGCGTGGATTTTTCTCCGGGTCCTCTGGGAATACAGGCCATGGCACCATGAACACATTCGTGTTAATTTAAACTCTTTTATTTGTCACATTTTTTTTATTTCAGCAGGTAAGGCCCTAAATGTTTGACTTAAAACTTTCGTGACTGCAGGATTTAATATTCTTGGTTCTTTCGGTAAAGTCACGAAAATAGAAAACAAAAAAATAAAATAAAAGAAAGAAAAAATAACATAAAAATAATACATTTAAAATAATAAAGTAATAAAACCCACAGTAAAAATGATAAATAGTAAAATAAAATTTAAATTAGAAATAAAAATAAATTGAAAATAACCAAAGCAAAAAACCCACGACGTTTTTTTATTTCGAATTTATTTAACTATTTTTTAGTCATTTATCTACCGTGGTTTTTTTGCTTTATAATTTTCATTTGATTATTTTTATGTAATTTTTATAATTTTAATTAAAAATATTTTTAGAAAATTAAAATTTTTTTTTACGTGACTTCACCGAAAGATTTCGATTTAAAGCTTTCGTGACTGCAAGGATTCATCTTCTTTGGTTCTTTCGGTAAAGTCACGTAGAATGAGAATAAAATAATAAAATAAAATAAGACAATAAAATTCTCACGACGTTTCGGCCACAATACAAGTAGCCTTCTTCAGGTGAAGGAACAGAACTGTCGGGATGACAGCGCTTCAATGAACGCTGCTAAGATTCGCAGCGTCTTTTAGGCTAGGTGGGAGAAGTGAGGCACCTTGACAAAGGAGTTTACATATCAAACAGGAGAATTTAGCATTGAAATAGCTTAGGGATTAGCTTGTGATTGGTCACAGAAATAGCTATGTTAAAGTCAAAGTTTACATATCAACAGAGGCATTTAGTATATGGACGCTAAAGGGCTGCAACTACCCAACTATCATACAGTAAACCGATGTGAAAAAACGAAGTCTAAATTACATCAATATAATAAATGTACTCAATATATTCTTCAATAAGCTGAGTTATTAACAGCAACTGGGTATACACTACACTATATAATGAATACCACATAGTAAACCAATAAAAACTAAAGTATAAACTACCTCAATGTTATCAATAAACTCTATATACTCTCCAATCAGCTGAGCTACCAACAATAAGTCGTTATATATCACAATGCTATATGGCGAAAAAATGGGTGGTTTCCTCCCCTCAACGCCACCACCACCGAAAGAATAAAAAATATAGGTAAGGCCCTCTTTTTTATAAGTTGCCTGGCGACAATTGATAGCTCAACGAAGTGGCTTAGCACGTGGACATTTATAGCAGCCAAATACTCTAAACACATGTTGATTCTAAATGTGGGAGGGAAACACCGTAGGACCTGGAGAAAAATCCACACGACCACAGGGAGAACATGCAAATTCCAAATATACAGTAGGCGTGAGGGTCGGGATCAAACCCACGACCTCCCCTATACCAGGCGAGGTAATTAACATCCCACCACTGCCTTAGTCTGACGAGCACCGCTAGACTCCCGGCCTTGCTGAACGGCGCATGGCCAAAACAGAGGAATGCATCGGAGAGCCATTGTGCCAGATAGCCCGGAGGCTCTCTCGCGTGTGGCTGTATGGTCTTGCTTGAGCGTCTTATTTGAAATGAAAGAAATTCCTCGTGGGGTAATGACGTGAGCTCAGGAAATTGCGACTTGTTTTGTGGTGAACAGTTCCACATGTTTGGTACGCACCAGTTTAGCTCCCACCCAGCA